ATTACATCAACATTATGTATTATTAATAATAGAGGTCCAAGCAATGTGTTATTTTAAATAGAACCAAACAGAAGTTGTTTGTTGATACAGGTGATGAAGGTATAATTAGTTTCTTTAACTCTTAACCAAACATCACAATTCATCCACCCTCATCCGACAATCCTCTCTCTATCCACCACAAATTCCAAAACTACTATCTATCCAATTCTCAAACCCTAAAACTCTAATCTCCTGCTGCTGCAGAGAATTGCATATCTTGTGACTCCTTCTCTCCAGCACTCTCATTGGCGCATGATGGCACATTAATGCGCAGATGGCGCGTTAATATTTGTGACCTGGGCAGATGCCACACACTTGTACCTTTGTTACAAGTGTTTGCAAGACACAAAATCTTCCTAGTCCATAGTGCGCACAACAGCTGGTATTTTTTTCAGTTATCGCCCACCACCCTGTCTGAAATTTGCAGGCAGCCATATGGGCCTCTTTTAGCACTTTCACAAGACACAGCAGACTTACTGTAAGTACCTGTACTTTGACTCATATAGTCTTTGGCAGGAAATTTTTACAACATACAGTCCCCAAATAAATATGAAGCCACTTCTCTCTTTTGTTTTGTTATTTGCCATCACGTCACATCTGATTTACAGCAGCCCTAATAGAGTTTTCAAAGTACGTATGTGAGACATTTAAGAAGTGATTTTACAAAATGCTATTCTCCCTCCTCCCATGAGTTTTCTTCGTTGAGCAGGGATTTGAACCCAGGTTCAAAGTCCGAAATCATCCTTTAAACATAATCTAGTTGTCTGTACCTCTTTTACTGTTCTTATTGCAGTATTTAATGCGTGAATTATTAAACTACCTTTTGGTATATCTTTTGGTTTAGTTAAAATGGTCATTAGGACATAGAACCTGTTGTTAATCATTTGAATCCCACCATTGGATAAAGGGTGCAAGACACAAAACCTATTTTACTATTTGGTGGTTCATGCCATAAATGAGAAGAAGAGAAAATTATGAGTATAACAAAATTGGATTCCTACTGGAGTTTGTCATCATATTTGTATCTCTTGCTTTTTTGTGAAAAGAATTATCAAGTTGAGCTAGTGGACAAAGAATATAGTACAGTGGTGCCTCGACTTACAAACTTAATCTGTATTGGAATAGTGTTCGTAAGTCGAAATGTTTGCAAATCGAAGCACCATTTCCCATAGGAATGCATTGAAAACCAATTCATCCGTTCCGACCAAAGGAAAAAAATCACAAAAAATAAAAAGAACACAGCAAGCCTGGTCGGAAGGCGCTCCATTGCTGAGGTTTAAGAAGAAAAAAACTCCAAAAACAAACACTAAAGCCACCTCCGTTGCAGAGGTTTAAGAAGAAGGAAACTCCAAAAATAAGCAGCAAAACCACCTACAACACAACACAGAAATATACCTGCCCCAGCCAAAACCCACCCGAACAGTTTTTTAAAAGGATAAAACAACAGCAGCTTACCTTCCTGCAGACACACACACACTCACTCCCAAGCAGGAGGCTCTCCTAAGCCTTCAACGAGGATGACACTCTCTAACTGCCAAAAGTGAAAGACCTACAGTACAAAGCAGCCTCATTGCCACCTACAGTTAGAAATCTGAATTGCCTGCCTTTTTCCGCTGCCTGTTTCTGTTCATAAGTTTACAAGTCGAGGCAAAATGTTGTAACCGGAACTGTTTGTAAGTAGAAATGTTTGTAAGTAGGGACGTTCATAAGTCGAGGCACCGCTGTAAATGATTACTGCCGCATGATCTCTATGTATCCTGTGTGGTATTAGGAATTAACCCACAGGTGGAGGTGTCCTGCATGCTAGACCAGAATGGATTTTTTGTGGAATACAGCACCAAGGTATTGAAGATAAGCCTGTTCCATTTGCTTGGAGGTACTAGATCTCCCCGGAGGACATATTTGGGATGAGATGGAAAAATTGCCATTGTTCATAAAACCCACAGATGCCTTTCTTCTTCATTATGGTCTCTGTATATGCACACAATTGGGTGTTTTGCACCTGCACAGATGATGCTACAGAATGTTCCAGAGCTTAAATCTCATGTCTCTTCCCTGTAGCCTTATATGCACATGCTCCACCCATTCCCCTCAGTGCCTTTTTTCCCACCACGTTGTTGAGATCCTTCAGAGATTAAAGGGACAAAACCTTTTTTACTACTTTTATATTTCTTACCTTCTTGTTGTATCTTCTAATTACAGTGGTGCCCTGCATAGTGACGTTAATCTGTTCCAAAAAAAGTCGCTATCCGGATTCCTCACTATGCGGGGCAAAAAAACCCATAGGAACGCATTAAAACGTGTTTAATGCGTTCCTATGGGGGGAAATTCACCACTATGCGGAAATCCTCCATCCAGCCGCCATTTTCGCCGCCCGGTAAGTGAGGAAACCATGCAAAAACGCTGTGGGTGGCCATTTTGTTTACCCGGCGGCCATTTTGGAACCGCTGATCAGCTGTTTTTAAATCATCGCAATGCGATTTTCACCCATTTTGAACATCACATTGCGATGATCAGTAAGTGAAACACCAATCATCACAATGCGATTTTCGCCCATTTCGAACATCGCAATGCGATCGCTTTTGCGATTGCAAAGTCCGCATGACTATGCGAATTCGTCATTAAACGGGGCGCTCGCTATGCGGGGCACCACTATATCTTTAGTAACAAATAAATAAGTTACTTTTATATATTTGTTAGTTGAACTAGCGTTAGTCCCCTCCCTGTTCTCCAATGGTTCTACCTGCTGAATTTCTGTATTTTATGGCCACTTCGTCATAGGCGTCCTTCAGTCTCGAGAGACTATGGCAACGTGCTCTGTATGGAGGACTTTGATGCTATATGCAAAGCTGGAATGTCCTCTCCAGAGCACTAAGCCTGGGTAAAATAATATGGAGGATAGGCTGTTACCCAAGCAGCATATCTCCCCTCTCCACATCATTGAAATAGTCCAGTGGAAAGGCAAAAGCCAATACAACTGGTTGCAGCGATGTCGCAGGAGTTGCCAGAATGACACGAACTGCCCTCGGGACTCCGGCTCCGGATTTTGCCTCAAGGTTAACTCCTGTAGCCTTTTCTATCAATGGATATAGCCACAAGGCAGTGGAGATTTGGAATTGGAGTTTTCCTTCTCCTAGATGCGCTGCCTTCTCAGGCTGACAAGTCCAATGAAGACAAATGAGGTTGCAGTCCTGTGTGCATCATTACTTTGGAGAAATGGCTAGGGAATTCTGGGAGTTGTAGTCTAAAAAAATGAACAGCTGTGCACCTTTTCCTTGCTACAGTCTGAGTATTTTGGAGTACCTATGTCACTGTTGGTTGGCTGAGTAATCAGTTTGGCTGTAAGCAACAAAATGAAGTAGTATCCTTAATGTAAATGAAAAAAACGGAGGTGCACAAAGACAAATATGTAGGATTTAGCTTCAGTTTGAGGTTCAGTCGTTTAGTGTATTTTCAGTATCTGATTTTCAACAGTTAACGTAGAGACTACCTTCTAAACTAGTGGTAGAGTATCTACGGCCCACCAGACGTAGCTGTACTGCAATCCCCCCATAATCACATTGACCAGTAATGGGGAGGGGAGGATAGAGAGAAATAATTGGCGGTATAGTGGTCAATTTGGAAGTGTGGGTGCCTCCTCATGACAACTACTATAGTCCTGCTCCCTTCTCAGGCAATTCCTGAAATCCCAGCAGCTAGAATTTTCCAGATCAATAAATGAAGGACAGGTCTTTTGTAAAGCTGATGGCTCTTAAGTGCCCATTCAAGGCCCACTACCCTCAAATGTGTTGCTTTTTGACAATATATTGTTCCTGTAGGAATCAATTCTCTTACAATTACAGTGAGGATTAGTTAATGCAAGGGGAACAGGAATTATGCCATATACTCTGCAAATCAAGAGTGTCCGAGGATTCAACCTTATGAGCCCTGGCTGCAGTATATACACATTTTATAAATATTTGTGCCTATGCATCAGGTGGTATCTACCTAGTGAGGTGCAATGACCTCTCCTTCCAGTGGATGACAGTGTTGGTGCATATGCACTAATGAGGGTTACTGGTCCTGCTGATGAGTGGAGCTGCAGAGACAGGATTCTTTCACTCCCCACAGTAGGTGGAACAATGCATCTCAGAAGAGTATTTCTGACTGCAAATCCAACACCATATTCCCTGGTCTCATTCGATGGTTTTCCCTGCCAGAAGAATGAGAAGTTTTTTTCTTTGACAGATCACGAGTCTGGCAATTTTATCTCTTGCAGGGCAACAATGTCCATCTGCAGTCTACTCAGTTCCATGTCAATGACAGCTGTCTTGCGCACATTGTCTATTTCTTGCGGGTCATCAGGAAAGCCGTAGTCAGAAAAGCCAGGGGTCATTGTCCGTACATTCCAGGTGCCCAGCTTTAGGGCAGAAGTTTTCTTACGATTGTTGCATGGTGCACGGTTATTGATCTGCTTGTCAAGTTTCACCCTAAACCCCATGCACCCCGTGCAGTTAACAGACCGTGGTGAGGTAGCACCTTACTGGCTGGGGGCTGCCCAGCTTAAGGCAGGCAGTATCTACCTAGTGAGGTGCAGTGACCTTTCCCAGGTCTCCTGCTCATCCTCCTTTAAAGCTGAAACTCTGCCCTCCCTCAGGCCATTCCTATTTACCATATTAGGATCAGAGATAGAATTAGAGTATTTGAGATGCTGTTCCAAGTAATCCATACAGAGCACGTTACCATAGTCTTTCGAAACTGAAGGATGCCTAACCTAATATACAGAAATTTTGAGTATAATCTTTACTAGCATGCGCCATGCTCAAAGATATAGAATTCACACATGACACAAGAAGTTTGGTTGCTCTCCACTGAATAAATTTTGGAATCTAATGGATACCTGTCCTTGTTAGTGGGCTAATTGAGGCGGGGAAGGGAGGAAAGGGGATGTTCGGACTGATACTGCATCTATTTATTTTTAGGTTAGGATGTCTACGGGATAAAATCATCCACCAAATGAAAGTGCAACATTTTTATCAGCAATTATTACGGTATGTTGGAGTTTTCATCTAGCTGTATCAACCCAAATTGGAAATTTGGAAATTTTGGGATTGTCAGTTTTAATGATTGCATAATGGTACTGTATTGTTATAATTGATTAGAATTTCCAAGGAAGTGATGGTGGAAACTCTGGGGTTTGGGGATACTGTATACTGTAATTCACTAACACAGCAGTTCTACCTCTCATTTCTGCCACTCTCTGTTTAAAGACACAAATTCCTACCTGTGCCTTTTACCCAAGTGGACAATATAGAGCAGCAATTATTGGGTCAAAATTGTAGTTTTCTAAGCTTTTGTTAGAGAAAAGAACAACTGATCATGGAACATGTTTTCCTGGAGAAAACTTTGATCAGCACATTCAAACGAAGGCACATTTATGAGCAACATCATATTATATGTAGGAGCTATCTTTAACAGGAAGACTTAAATAGCAGCCATGTCCCCTTTGTGACTGAAGGAGGATTTAAACTGAGAATTTGGTGTGCTTTACATCAGAGGACCCCAACCCCCGGTCTGCAAACTGGCAGTGGTCCGCAGCCTATCCAGGACACAAGTGCCCCCTCACGAGCATTATATGTGCATGTGCGCAAGCAAGCTCCACCCCCCTGTGGGCGTGCCACACCCACCCAACCTGTCCGTGGTTGGGAAAAGGTTGGGGACCACTGCTTTAGATAAAGAATGAAAGATGCTTGTTTATTTACACCTCTTGTAATTTTTTACAGTTAATTTTAAATTGTTTGGTTAAAGACAGATATTCTTTCCCAAACATTGATGTCTGTGACCTAAGTGCAGTTGCTAGTCAGAACTAGAACAATAAAATATGGATGTTAAAATTAACAATTGTATAAAGATGTTTTGATTCATTGGGTCTGCTCTAGAAATTTGGTTTAGGTTCATGTGTTCCTACATTTTTGAAAGCAAGGAAGTTCCCCAATAAGAGCTTCAGTGTAAAGAAGTAACCTTTCACTGAATTAATTCTCTCAACAACAAAGAAATATAGTTCAGTCCCTCCATCTTCACTCAAAACATAGTTTGATGTACTGGTTTTGTACCTTAATACCTATCCCACATAGACATGACTGGGGAAAAAGTTTTGCTTTACCTAGAACTAACTCATTTAATGTGATAGCTGAAATTCAGTAAGTAAAAGTTACAGCTAGAGTAGGCTTATGGAATTTATGGAGGACTTGCCAAATCCTAACTGATTCAAGGGACCTATTCTAGTTACAACTTACTACTGGATTTCAGCCAATGAAATTTTGTTCATCCAAATTTGGATCAGTTAAACTGAATTAGTGAAGATTATATAGCCTTGGATTGGAGTGTAATGAAAATCTATTTGTAGTTGTGTACACTATCAAAATCTGTGTTTGAGGAAAAACAGCCCTGACAATTCCTTTATGTTTGGGTGAGAAGTGGTTCAGATGAAAAAAGAAAATGAGCTTCTGAGATTTTCCCCTGCACAGTGCCACTTTGTGAATGGTAGTGAGCAGAAGAGGGCATCCTGCAGACCAAGGGTTCCCAAACTGTCCACTGTATCAGCCTGCAGCCCTAGCAGCACCCTGTGGCTTCCTGGTGTGCCCCAAATACAATGCCCATTCCTCTCTTTCTAAATATTTAAAAGCCCCCGGTGATGGTGCTGCTGCTCTTCCAACTCCAGTTCCAGCTCCTTTAGGCTCCTTTGCTTCCTGCTCCACCTCACATCCATCACCATTCCTCCTGCTCTGTCACTGCTGCTGCTGCTTAGGGGAGTCCTGAGTCCGGTGTTGTAGACCATCTTGACAGCTGCCATATATGTTACCAGCATTCAGGTTGCCCTTTGCTCTGTAAAGCTTGGCATCTTTTTCATGCCAGCTGGCAATGCCTGCTGGCCATTTCCTGACTTTTTGAATCATGGTTACAGAATCACAATATCCCACATTCATAAACCAGAGGGTTTTTTTCAAGAATTGAATACAGTTTACATTCTGTCTGTGTCCTTTAGTCCTTTCCCTACTACTGAGATATACTTTCTTTCTCCCTGAACACCATCTTCTTTTCTTCAGAACTTAGTGTTAATCTTTGAATTTAGCTTCACCCCAGAATAGAATCTGCCAATTAGGATCTTATAAAAATTGGCTCATTTAAGTCAGTTTGGTTTAGATTTCAGATTTGGCTGAAACTGAGGCCTAATTTTTATTATATATTATCTAAGGGATGCAATGTGGAGCCCACTGAATTTGCCATTATTGATTGCTGAAAACTTTCCAGTGCAACAAGAAAAAATATTTTGGAAAGCTCTTTTGGTTTTGCCCAGTGATGAGGAATATCCACTTGAGGATCCCAGCAGGTATTTATTATATTCAAAGTATGTAAGAAAGCCAGTGTCTTGTGCATACACAAAAGGGTGGCATTGTATGTTCCTGATCCATGGGTTTAAATTGCACTGATGACAACCTACTCGACACATCTTACGATTTTTGAAAGGCATGGAAAACTAGGAAAATTTGTTTATTGAGACCATTTCTGATATTCAGAATGGGGTGGAGCTGCTTATATAAGCAAAACAACACAGTTGACACACAAGAAGGAAGATACCGTCTTTCCCTGAAAATAAGACAGGGTCTTATATTAATTTTTGCTCCAAAAACGCATTACGACTTATTTTCTGGGGATGTTTTTTTTTAAAGGTACAACAATCTACATTTATTCAAATACAGTTGTGCCACCTTCTTCTGGTTGCTGCACAATGGTGGAGGGCAGGGTTTCACTTAACTGGAGCTTATTTTAGGGGTAGGGCTTATATTACAATCATGCTGAAAAATTACACTAGGGCTTATTTTCATGTTAGGTCTTATTTTCAGGGAAACAGTATCTACAGGGTCAGGGAAATACCATTTTATGCAAATATGCAAATAATATATTGGGGAGGGTATCTTAAGAGGGGAGGAGATCCCCAAATACAGCTCATTGAGAAGTGAACATGCCTAATTGCCAGAGTGTAACAGGAGAAAGTAAATTGAATGACTGGCTGAAACACTGAAAAGTAACACTATATTAGAACATAAGAGCCTTGCCGGATCAGGCCAAGGGCCCATCTAGGGCTTCCTGTATCTCACAATCGCCGTACCAGATGCCTCTGGGACCATACGAGACAACGCAATACCTGTCTGATGCTTATTCTGATGCTTAGTTTCAGATCCCTTTTTTAAAAATTTAGTATCAGCTCTGAATCAACTAACTAAAATGACAGTTATTAATTGAAGATACTTGTTTCTACTTAACAGTACATACTGATTAGTATATTAGTGTTTTGCTGTTATGTTTAAAATACTTGATACTGTAATAACACTGTATTTAACAATCCATTTCATGCTGTATTTAAATCTGCATTATAGCAGCATTTTAATTGTAGACTGCCACAATTCAGAATATTTTTAAAGTCTGTGATGCTATACTGAAATTTTTTCTCTCTACTGTTCATAGAATTCTAGCAGATTGGTTGAAAGCTAAATTTCTCATTGATAAGGATGTGGAAGAGACAATTTCTGCGGCAGATAATGGAATAAAAACACTTGCATTGCATACTTCTCTTCATACAAGAGGAGATCAGGAAGTTTCTGTCAGTGTGTGTATAAAGGTCTGTTCAAACACCCCTTGCTCCATCACATTTTCTTGATAGATACTCCACAACTGTATTAAAGGCTAAAATCCTCTTGCGCAGTTACACAAATGGCATAATTTTTAGTCATGAATTGGCTAAGTTAAGAAATCTCCATAGGCATTATTTCTTGCATACCCAGTTGTACAACTCCGTATGCAGCACATAACATCTATGGAGATTCCAGAACTTGCAGCAAAGCTGGAGTGTCCTCTCCAGAGCATGAAGCCTGGGTAAAATAATATGGAAGATAGGCTGTTACCCAAGCAGGAAATCTCCATCTCCAGTTCACTGAAATAGTCCAATGGAAAGGCAAGAGCCAATACAACTGGTTCCAGCGACGTCGCAGGAGTTATTAGAATATCATGAACTGCCTCCGGGACTCTGGCTCCGGAGTTTGCCTCGAGGTTTACTCCTGAAGCCTTTTCCATCAATGGATATAGCAACAAGGCAGCGGAGGTTGGAAACTGGAGTTTTCCTTCTCCTAAATGGGCTGCCTTCCAAGCAGTTCACATCTAAATGCAATGTCATTTGCAACAGGATTTTAGCCATATTCTGCATTAGGCTACTGTTTCAAAAGCATTCAGAATACATTGCCAGTATGTCATTTTGACACAGTTGTTCACAATGCTGACAGGCCTGTGAAGTTGATGGGTCTTCCTGCAAACAGGCAAAGAGTTTTCTCTTCAGGCAATCCTTTGTATACATATTGTTTTTAGGTTTAAATATTGTGTTTTAATGATGAAAGCCACCTCCTTTTTAAGGAGAAACGCAGGGTAAAATCTTTTAAATAAATAATACATAACACATATGTACATAATGCATAGGCAGTTTTCCATAACTTACACTACTTTTTGCTTACAGTTTTATTCTTCCAAATTTTGATGTATTCTAGAAATGCATTCTCTCCCTTTATAGGCTATAATTGCCTATATTTTCAATAATGTAACTTAAAACAAAGGAAAGGAAAGTGCAATGCTGCAAAGAAAAATACTGCCTAGGAACCTGGAATGTAAGATCTATGAACATTGGGAAGCTCGATGTGGTCAAACAGGAGATGGCAAGAATAAACATTGACGTCCTGAGCGTCAGTGAACTAAAATGGACAGGAATGGGCGAATTCAATTCAGATGATTATCATATCTACTATTGTGGGCAAGAATCCCGTAGAAGGAATGGAGTACTCCTCATAGTCAACAAAAGAGTGGGAAAAGCTGTAATGGGGTATAATCTCAAAAATGATAGAATGATGTCAATACGAATCCAAGGCAGACCTTTCAACATCACAATAATCCAAGTTTATGCACCAACCACCAATGCGGAGGAGACTGAAATTGACCAATTCTACGAAGACTTACAACACCTTCTAGAACTGACACCAAAGAAAGATCTTCTTCTCATTCTAGGGGATTGGAATGCTAAGGTAGGGAGTCAAGAGATAAAAGGATAACAGGAGGGCTTGGCCTGGAAGTTCAGAATGAAGCAGGGCAAAGGCTAATAGAATTTTGTCAACAGAACAAGCTGGTCATCACAAACACTCTTTTCCAACAACACGAGGCGACTCTACACATGGAAATCACCAGATGGGCAATACCGAAACCAGATTGATTATATTCTCCGCAGCCGAAGATGGAGAAGCTCAATACAGTCAGCAAAAACAAGACCTGAAGCTGATTGTGGCTCTGATCATCAACTTCTCATAGCAAAATTCAAGCTTAAACTGAAGAGAGTAGGAAAAACCACTGGGCTAGTCAGGTGTAATCTAAACCAAATCCCTTATGAATACACAGTGGAAGTGAAGAACAGATTTAAGGAACTCGATTTGGTGGACAGAGTGCCTGAAGAACTTTGGATAGAGGCTTGAAACATTGTACAGGAAGCAGCAACAAAAACCATCCCAAAGAAAAGGAAATGCAAGAAAGCAAAGTGGCTGTCCAACGAGGCCTTACAAATAGCAGAGAGGAGAAGGGAAACAAAA